ACTAGCCAGCTTAAATGTACAAAATAATGTAAAACATAAACTAATTAAAGCATCTACTCCATGATTTTTTTCTGCAATTGTGGGCTTTCATACATAAGAACACTCAATGTCATATGTACTTCTTACAAACAGTTTGCAACTGCAGAAAGTACTTATTTCCCATTGCAATATACAGTCCAGACCAGTCACATGCAAATGCACCTTAAGTTATCACTTATTAATAAATTTTGCCAAATTAAATGGAGCATGCTCTTACCCTGAACCAATCCATAAATGCTGTAGTTTTTATTTCGTTTTTTTTTTTCTTTTATTTTGGTGTTCTGCTTTATTTTTGCTTGTCATTTCTATTAATAATCTTTTGACAGTTTTTGTTTGTATGTTTCTTCAGTCACCTATTTCTAACCAAGAGTAAGATCAAAATCAATTGAGATTTTACATGTATATAACAATTGTTCACGATTAGACTTTCCACGTTTTTCATTGGCCTGTTTGCATTTTCATTGCATTGTGACAAACTGGCCTCACAAGAGTAGTAATAGAGTGTATAAAGTTTTATGGTCAACAGTCATTTTCAAGACTGGACCAATCTATAAAAAATGCACTTACCCAAACATATGGGCAGCTGTAGCGAGCGTATGCAGCAATAAGAAATAGGGTTGATTTGTCATCCTGTAAAAATTCATATGATCAGTATTATATCAAAAAAAGAAACCATTGATATTAATTAAATTGAAGTATCACAACAAATGCCTGCATGTGAGAGAACTACTGCATGAAGTAAGATTGTAAGCAACTTAACCAAGGAATTAAGCTCACGCATTGTCTATTGTACAGTATACAGTAAGTGTACATTATTTGTTAAATGGTGAAACACACATGTATAGTGTGATCAATGCTTCTTCTCTTCATCCAAACCTGCCTATATGAGCTATCATTTTGCAATGAAGTTCTATTTTGAGCTTTAATTAGAGGGGGCAACCCTAGTATGGTGCAACAGTGCTTTTGGTTGTCTCCTTCTCC